CTGACCAAGCCATGGTATTTTCTATGACCTCATATGCATGTGAAATCTGGACAGGGAATAAGGAAGACCATAGAAGAATTGATGCTTTTGAGTTATGGTGTTGGAGGAGAATATTGAAAGTGCCATGGGATGCTAAATGAACAAACAGATCTGTGTTGGAAGAAGTGCAGCCACAGTGCTCCTTGGAGGTCAGGATGGCCAAACCTCATTTCTCATACTTCGGACATAGTGTCAGGAAGGACCAGTCACTGAAAAAGGATCTCATGTTTGGTATGGTGGAGGGTCAGAAAAAAAGAGGAAGATATCCAGCGATATGGTTTGACAAAGTGGCAGCATCAATGTCTTCAAGCATGGCACCAATTGTAAGGTTGGCCCAGAACTGGACAGTGTTTTGTTCTGTTGTACATAGGGTTGCTATGTGTCGGTACCGACTCAATGACACCTAACAACAAGAACAATTGATGATCTGTTCCTCAGTCTTTTCCTAACCTTGTTTTATCTTGTGATAATGAGATTTTCCTTCATCTCTTCCCACAGATTTAGTCAATTTGATTCCTGTGCATTCCATCAGATGAGGTCCATGTGTATATTTGCTATTTATGTTGTTGAAAAAAAGGTATTTGCTTCACAAAAGTCATTGGTCTGCAAAATTCTGTCATTGATATCTAGCATAATTTTTATTTCCAAGGCCATATTTTCCAACTAGTGATCCTTCTCCCTTCATTCCAACATTTTGATTCTAATCATCAGTAATTGTCAGTGCAACTTGATTTTATATTTGATCAAATTCAGACAAAAGAAGCTGATACAATCCTTCAAATTGTATTATACCTGGTTTTACTGGTTGTTGCTTAAACTTGGATAATATTTAACCGGTATTCTTTGTAGATGTATGGATATTATCCTATCACAGACAGGATTGTACTTCAAGATAGATCTAGAAATGTTCCTTTTGATAATGAATGCCATACCATTCCTCTTAAATTTTCCATTTCCAGCATAGTAAACCATATGATTTTTGGATTCAAAGTGGCCATTACCTGTCCATTTCAATTCATTAAAACCTAGGATACTGATTTTTATGTGTCCAATCCAATTTTTATAACTTCCAACTTTTCTAGATTCATACTTCATACATTGCACTTTGCAGATTTTTTCTTTTCATTTTGAACTGTGCCTGATCAGCAAATGAAGAAATTGTGAGAAAACAGCTAGAAAAACACAAAAAGAAAAATAAATTTCAATTAGATGTTGAGAACTGCCACTGTTACTCAGATAATGTGGGAGAACACTTTATACCTTTATATGTGTACATTTAATGTAATATTTGTTAAAAGAAAATTTCAAATATTTCCTTTTCTGATTCCCCAGGCCGTGATTATGAAAAGGATAAAGTCTGCAAGGAACTCAGCAATCTGGGAAAAGATGACTTCAGATCTTTGTAAGTACACAGTATCTACTCACTCACTTAGCCACATGGCCTTGAGTAAAGCTAAGTCTAAGGGAGTCCTGGTGTGACGCTCTAAGTTAATGCACTGGACTGCAAGGTCAGTGTGAACCACAAAGTCAGTGGTTCAATCTCATCAATCACTCCTTGGAAACTCTATGTAGGGTCACTATGAGTCATAACCAACTTGACAGCACTTAACAACAACAACAAGGAACTTTTTATTCAGTATAGAGGACTGAATTTATCTCTAAAAAGATTAATGTAACAGTCCCAGAGTCATTGTGGGTCAAAAAGTCAGTCAAATAGATGATATTCAAAGATGTCATTTGAATTATGGCTACTTGTTTTAAGACTGTGCCCCCATTAAGTTTATTAATCACTTATAAGCAAACAAGTAGACAAAGTTTTCTAAGATAATATAAAAACAATTATTACAGGTTAGGACTCAACAAAGGGACTGAGAAGGCTTATCTGGGGAGGCTCAGGAATACAGAAACACTATGCTGGTTTGATGGAAACTTAAGTTCACTTTGTGTTGCTTTCTAAGATTAACTCTACTAGAAGGAGGTGCTGCTTTTAGGTGCCATCATGTCATTTCCAGCTCTTGCAAACAGAATGAAACACTGCCCAGTCCTACAACATCCTCACAATCATCCCTATGCTTGAGCCCATTGTAGTCACTATTGTTCTGTCTGGTTGAGGGTCATCTTCCTTTTCACTCTTCCTTTAAACTATACCAAGTACAATGTCCTTCTTCCAAGAAGCGGTCCTTCTTGATAACATGTTCAACGTACTTGAAATGAAGTTATTCCATACTCACTTCTAAGGAACATTCCAGCTGTACTCTTCTAAGACATGTGTTTGTTCCTCTGGCAGTTCATTGTATATTGAATATTCTTCACCAGTATCAGAATTCACATGCAACCTTTCATTCTCCAGTCTTCCTTATGCATTTTCTAATTTTTGCATGCATATGAGGAGATTGAAAATACCATAGATTGAGTAGACATACCTTTATCCTTAATGTGTGTTTTTCCTTAGTAACACTTTGAAAAAATTAGCATAAGAACTAATTTTAAAATAGTTTCATATTCCTTTCATTAACCAATTAAAAACATATTCAATATTCTTTTAAGAAAACTGAACGTAGTTGTTATTTTAGTTTCTACAAATGTTGAAAAAGATATCATCTTACTTTTTGATTTCTCCCCTCCTCAGATCAATGGTCCTATACAGCAGAAAATTTCCTAGTGGCACATTTGAACAGGTCAGGAAGCTTGTGGAAGAAGTTGTCTCCTTGACCGAAGACTGCTGTGCAGAAGAGGCGGATCCTCAGTGCTATGACAACAGGGTGGGTTTCCATGGTTATCCATCACTATGGTGGATAGCGATGAAAGAATACAGTGGAAATGGCCTTCATGTCATTTCCTGGGGAAACATTAGATCACAACTACTAGTTTGAGGAAAACATGAAGTCTATTCTCCCTAGAAGGAGCCCTGATAGCATAGTGGATTACAAACTGGACTGCTAACTACAAGGTCAGTAGTACAAATCTACCAGTGTCTCCACGGGTGAAAATATGAAGCTTTCTGTTACCATAAAGATTTACAGTCTCTGAAATCTGAACAGGGCCATTATGAATCAGAACCAACTTGGTATCACACAGCCACCACGGTCACCAGCATCATTCCACCTGTTGTTGTTAAGTGCTGTCAAATTTGTTCTGATCCATAACAACCCTGTGCATGGTTTTCAAGTAGTGGATGGTGAGCTTGAACTGACAACCTTGCAGTTCAAACTGACTTTGCAATCCAGTGCATTAACCCACAGTGTTACACCAGAACTCATTCTTCTTAAAACTGAGTTTTATCAGATTCAGTTTGGCCCATTCTTCTAAAAGCTTCAAATGAGATAGCTGGGCATAAAATGACTTACTAAACTATGTTGTTGTTGTTAAGTACCACAGAGTCGGTTCCGTCTCATACTGACCGTGCTCAAGGTTTCTGAGGCTGTATATCTTTACAGGAGCAGAAAGCCTCATCTTTCTCCCAAGGAACAACTGGTAATTTTGAACTACCAACCTTGGGGTTAGCAGCCCAATTAGTAAGCACTACACTACCAGAGCTCCTTACTAACATAGACATTATTATTTAGTAGTAGGTAAAATTTTGAATCCATATCTACCTGTCTTTAAAACCTGAGTATAAATACTAAAATTTATAGTATTACTATAAATTTGATCCTCTCAAATATTGATTCATCTATAAAATAGCCTTTTGAAAATAATACTATATGCCTTCATGGTGGTGTTGGTGGTGGTAATATGCTATGAAGTTCCAACGCAAAACAACACAGTATAGGGTTTCTGAGGGTGTCATTCTTTACAGGAGGTTGGAACTTCTGGGGAAACAAATTAAAAAACAAAATCTAAATAAAACAAAAATCAATTGTTTTTGAGTTGATTCTTATTCATGGCAACCCCAAGTGTGTCAGAGTAGCGTTTTGATGGCTGTGACCTTTCAGAAGCAGATCACCACACCTATTTTTCAAGGTACTTCTAGGTGGATTCCAAACACCAAACTTTTGGTTAAATAGTCAAGTTCTTAACAATTTGTATTACTGATGAATATGTATATATGTCTACCCATATCTTTATCATTTTGCAAAGGATTGGTAGCAATCACCGTGGAATAATTTAGTGTTAGATGCAAAATATTTTGTGATTCAAAAATTGTTCTAGGTGTATATAATTAAGTTTTCTCTGTTGTAATATATATGCAGAAATTAAAATTCTGAATTAGGAGTCATCAAAACATTAGGAAGCTTGAAAAAATTCATGAAAAATTAGAATTAAAAGGTAATGCAGTTATGCCAAGAACTTTTCGAAAATCCCACATTAGTCAATAGCTGGATAGGGAGAGACCACTGGAGTTTCAGTGGTTTATTAAATACAATCACCAGACTGCAGCAAATTACATTTGGATGCATTAGGATAAAGGTCTCTTCAGAAAAATCTGTCTCAAGCCTCCAAGGAGCCCTGGCAAATTAGTGTGTTAAGCATTGGGCTGAAAGCATTGCAGTTTGGACTCACCAGTCACTCTGCAGGACAAAGACAAGGCAGTGAGCCTCCATATTTACAGCTTTGGAAACACTACTCTATTTTATAGGGTCACTATGAGTCAGAATTGACTTGATGACAGTGGAAGGGGCTCAAGCCTGCAATAATCATCCTGCAGAAAGATTGTTCCAAAGATCTGTTTATAACATCGTCTATTTAATGATTGCTCTTAGCTATTCATTGCTTTTCTGGTCCTCATTTACCTTCTAAGAATTTTATAATCATTTCCTTTGCAATACTACCAATGCAATACTCATTTTAATCTGACTCTCCAAACCATCTTAAGATAAACAAATATTCCTTCTAGTCATGATCAATATAACAGAATATGTATATTTTTAATTTTGATTTTTGTGTCAGTTGTTGTCAGTAAGTGCCTTCAAGCAATCCAGTGTTT